TCGCTGGGGCGTCTGACAGCATGGGCAGCGAATGCGAGTTGTATGGAGGTATGTTGGCAATTAACTTGACTTTTCTTTTATACTCCAACTGTTCACAGCGATATTCTAGTCAATCGCAAAAAAATAAAAAATCACAATGTGGCACTGCAATAGCTACAATGTTTATTTATAAAGCACAATTTCACCGAAGTTGACCAAAGTGCCGTAGAAGTAGGCTAGCCTACAAAAGAAATAGTAAAAAAAAAAAAACAACAGAAAACAGATTTACAAATAATAAAAGACAAGATGTGAAATAGCCTAGGTATAATGCATGAAAGTAATCATAAAACAACAAGTCAAGATATTAAACGCCAAAGAAAATAAATGAGTCTTAAGAGTAGCCTAGACTTAAAAATGGATAAAGTTGGGAAAGTTCTGATATGAGACTATTCCATAGTTTATACCTTTCCACTTACTTTCTTAAAGGGACAGTTCAAACAAAAATGAAAAGTCTGTCATCATTTACTCACCCTCAAGTTGTTCCAAAGCTGTATGACTGTCTTTCTTCTGCTGAACACAAAAGATATTTTGATGAATGTCAGTAACCAAACAGTTGATGGGCCACATTGACTTCCATATTATGGAGAAAAAAGTGGAAGTTAATGGGGCCCTTAAACTCTCTTCAAAATATCTTCATTTGTGTTCAGCAGAACAAAGAAATTCATACAGGTTTTGGAACGTTATGATGAGTAAATGATGACAGAGTTTTCATTTTTGGGTGAACTATCTTTTTAAGCCTATAGCGGTTATTTATAAAGTTCATAAATTAAAATTTTTACTTCATAATTGTACAATTAAACATTTAAGAAACATTAAAGGGTCATATTTTCAGATGCAAGTGTCTGAGGAATTAGTAATTACAAAGTCGCAAGACAAAACTTCAAATAAAGATATGTTTATTCTCAATATAAGATATAATTCATATACTTTCTTAAAGTAGGTCAGATTATAATTTTCTACATTTTTGCCATGGTCAGTATTCACAACCTTAGCTTGTTTCAACTCGTTGTCCTTTTTAATGTTGTTAGGTGAAGTATTCGAGCAGACAATTCCAGTAGACGGTGAGAGGGCCACCGTTACCCTACTCGACATGTGGGATTCACAGGTAACACTTTTAGTTTGTCAGCAATTTATATTAATATAGCCTACTTATAAGTGATGAGAGGTTCTGAGACATTCTACTTTTTGTGTCCGTCAGGATGAGGGCAGCTGGACGCAGGAGCGATGTTTGCAGACAGGAGATGCTTTCATTATCGTTTATGCCATAACAGATCGTTCAAGCTTCCTTCACGCATCAGAACTTCGTATTCAGCTCCGGCGGGAACGTGAGGCTGACCGCACTCCAATCATCCTGGTCGGAAATAAATGTGACCTGGTCCGCTGCCGAGAAGTGTCCATTAGTGGTAAATAATATATAGTAAAACTCTTAAATGTGGCTCTACTCCTTATCTTAAATAAAGTTACTTCAGTAGCATTAAAACCAGCCTATTTAATCTTCTTAATCTGAATCCTCTCATGGGATTGTTAAAGCTACTATTTGTTTTAGCTTACATCACTGAGAATTTTTATTTTATACTTGATTTCCACTCTTATTTTTCAGAGGGTCGTGCGTCTGCTGCTGTCTTTGACTGTAAGTTCATTGAGACGTCAGCAGCAATGCAACACAACGTCTGGCCGCTGTTTGAGGGCATCATCCGCCAGCTCCGTCTACGACGAGACAGCTTGGAGACCCTCACCAGGCGCTGTTCTCTTCAAAAGCGTCGGGAGAGTCTCCCAGAGAAAGCAAAGCGTTTCATTAACAGATTGGTTGCTAAGAAGAACAAGCAAGCAGCCTTCAAACTCAAGTCTAAATCATGTCATGACCTGATGAGTCTGTAGTGTGTGACTTCGAATAGCTCTGAATGTTTTAATTGTATTGTATGAAGTTTGGGTGCAAAGTATCTGATCAAGTGCTCGTTTTACTGTAAGTTGTTTTAAGAAAGCCATGTATGTCTATATTAGACTGTTCTAGAATAGCAATGATTACAGGCTTCTCGCTCCCTCTGTGAAGGACAGAATGCTCTGTGTGTGTGTGTAAAAACAAGTATTTTCCAACTTTTGCTCAGTTTGAGCGTTAGCTTCCAAAAGAAATAAAATATTTAGGTTTTTTTATGATAAATCGGAAATACTTTAGTCCTTTTGAAAGTGCACACATCCAGAAAAGCTGAAAATACACTAACCTTGATGAAAACATAAACCAGCTGTTACTGTGGTGTGGTATTATGATACAGATTCTGTATTTGTCTAAAATACATTGCCAATTTGGCTAAGGGACCATTTACACAACACGTTTTTTAACTAAAAACTGAAAAAAAAGTATGTGTTTTGGACGTTCATTTACACGACACTGGCTTTTTGGGGGCCTGAAAATGCAAACTTTTGAAAACGGCTTTAAAAGTTTTTAAAAACTATACTGTTTTCATGTAAACTTAGAAAAAACCCCCGCAAATTTGTGAAAAGGATGACGTCATGTGTTCAGTCCATGCAGGCGCGTAGTGACATCAAAGTGACATCACTGACTACTGGCCTGACATGCATAATACAGCGTTTTTAGACATTTTCGTGGATCCTTGTGAATGGGGAGCGTTTTGACAACATCGCCGTCTGTTTGTGAAAAATGCACAAAAAAACATTTACGTTTTTAGGTCATCATTGTCAAGTAAATGTACCCTAATCGATCATTTTAAAGTGTATTTTCAACCAACATACAATTAAAAATACAGTGGGGTCCAAAGTTTGAATATACATTGAAAATCTGGGATTTAATATCTAATTTAATGCTGGAAATATATATTTAAAAAAAATTGACAAATTTAACACAAAGATACTATTACTAGGTCACCAATCAAGTAAGAACATTTGTGATAATAGGTATTGTTAACATTTGATAACTACATGATCTAACAATGAAAAATACTTCTAAAGCATTTATTAATCTTAGTTAATGCAAGTGACTTGTAAAGTGAGATATAAAGTTAGTTCTCTCTATATAACGATAATTCACAGATTATGTGTACAGCACAGTCTTTTTATTACAGTTTCAGCCCTACTGAAAATATGTGTGTATTACAGGAACACATTTGTTCAGAAATACTCCTCCTACTTCCCTTTCAAAGGTGAAAAGGGCAAATCAATGACACATTCAATGTGTGATCACTGCTGTGTGAACAATAGTGAATAATTATGAATGCAGTGTATGTCTCAAAACTGTGTAGGACTGAAGCTTAGGCAGCTGTGTTGCCTGTTTATTTTTGTGTACTTGCGGTACACACATCGAGTGAGGCAGGCTAGCAGATTGTCAGGTATTGCTCATTTTGAGGCCATTTCCTGTCAGATCTGCTATGCATGAGGCAGCAGGTGGACTGTTACAGCTAACTTTAAAAACACCAACAGTGTTGCAATTTTATTGACAAATGTGGTCAACCAATTGTAATAGTTCACATCATCAGCAACAGGTTTCTCTGTTTTAGTACCGATGCCTGCAGTAAATATCTTCATCCCTATTCCCTAACCTTAATCTTTGCCCTCTCCTTCTCTCCATTTTGCTGATACGGCTGCATAATAATTAGTCAATGGAAAAGCATGGGAACTTCTTGAGTAACTGCCACTCAAGGTGCCTTTAGCCATAGACATTTACATGTAAAGAATCACTTTTACAGGAAGTCATTACAATAGATTTCTCAGAAGTTAATGTCTTACAGTATTTTTATATTATATAAGTGTTGCTGAGAAAAAGTGAGCTGTCACTCTTACCATAATTAATCATATTGTTTCAAATCATTCTATAAATCATCAAATGATTTTTTTTATTTATTTCAGTGGAACACAAAATATATTTTATAGAACGTTTAAACTGTTTTTGTCAATACAATGAAAATTAATGGGGTACAAAAAAACAACAAAGGACTTTCATGGTAATACAAAAAAAAAACCCAAAAAACACTGAGACTTTTTAAAAAGATCTACTTTTGTGTTCCACAGAAGAAAGCAAGCCATATGTTTGGAACGACATCGGGGTGAGTAAATGAAGTTTTATTTTTAGGTGAACTATTCCTTTAAGTGTCATTGATGAATACTAATAGAAGTTCTTGCAAATGTTTTCATTTTAAGTATCAGAAGAACTGAGACTCAAACATGGGAAACAACCAAGCCAGAGTCCGTCAAAAGATCAAGGACCAAAGATTGCAGCCCTGTATTACTCAAGATTGTGAACATACAGCTGTGAAGAAGGTGACCTTTACGCTGTCTGTACATGTACAGTGATTTTCATCTGTCACAGCTTATTTCTCAGAGATGTTTGCTTTTTTTGTTCAAGATTGATCTCAGAATTTAGCTTTGTCCCCTGCGTTCTAATCATCTTGCACAGAAAATATTAAAGTAAAGAGGAAGTCACATGGACGAGATTGTGGATGAGTGTTTGTTGTGTGTCCTTTTAAGTCGGCATGAAGTTGGATAGTCTCTTCTTCTCTATTGTGACGTATATCCAAGTGAAACGGCTTCTTGAAAAAGAAAGAATGTTGGACGGGACTTGATTTTGTCCATCTGGATTTGATTGGGTGCTATTGCTGTGATCTCATATGAGTGACAGGATGTCCCGCCCTCACCAGTAAACACATCATCAGAGATGAGAAGATGTCACTGCAAGTGGGAGGGGACGTCATTTGAAGGCACATGGGTTAAAATAAAAGGGAATGGATAAATTATTTATAATAAATACTGCAATATTCCATAAAAATATGGTGACTTTAATTAAATGCTTGATGTTTACACATTAACATATCCACCGAGCCAGTATACTATACCCTAAATGGTGCCATAAATTACATTACATTTAAAGTCCACTCCCCTTCATGGTGAATCAGTAGATAATGATTAGCCTCAATAAAGTAGAGTTAAACTTTGACTTGAGCAGGAAACTCTGCAAGACTGAAACCTCAGTCTTTTGAGAAGAGAGGAGCTCTGCTGACAGGTCTGTGTGTCTTATCCTTTCTTTTATTTCTTCTGAGTTGTTGTCTTTTTAGTTTAGGCTGATTATAAAAGTATACATTTTTAGTTACCAATACGTCATTTGCCTTGTGACGATGCTTCCGCTGCCTACGACCGGCTGTGATCTTGTTTGACTTTGCTCAGTGCTTTCAGAAGGCTGTAGACCAGCTTATGTGGAAGGGCATTTAAAGATTATCGCAACTTGCTGTAGCATTGTAGAATTGCATTCTGGGTGCGAACGTATTTATGAGCATATTTTCGAGGAGCAAGTGGGGCCTTTGATATTTTTTTATCTCATATACTGTTAAAATGTCATCAGAGGTCACAAGCTTTGGCTGGAAGGCAAGGCCTCTTGTTCTCATACCTCGATACTAAAAACTTTACTGTTGTTTATATCCATCTAACCTCACGGTAATGGATAAATACATTTTGCTATGTTGTTAGAATTGCCTGGTTTCGGTTTAGAACACTTTCAGTTTGAAAATGTTTCCATTTGCTTTACTCTCATTCTTACAGCTGCTACTTTGAGCTGGTATTTATAACATCGAGCATGAGTATTGATTTCAGCTTGTGCATCAGAATGTCCTGATTCCTTATGTAGACATAAGATATAAGGAAACAATAATTTATCTGTATGGTTTTCATTGAGGTTTAAGCAAAAGTAGCTTATCAGAGGTCACATTAACTTCAATGTCACCTTGTGTCACATCTGTCTCAAGGCGTGTCTGTCTTTCACAATAGATCCGACAGATACAAGTGAAATAAAAATCCAGTATCAGTAAAGCACTAAACCTTACAGCTTATTTAAACACAATATTTCAGTACAGAACAGCCGACACAGCTTAATCTACTCTTGGATGGACTCAAACTGCAACTAAAACAATCAGATTTATCTAGAGATGTTTATCTGCTCACACACATTGTGTTTGATCAGATAAACATTTCTAGACAATTCTGTTTACCTAGATAAACACGCCTGTTCACAACTTCCTGTATTAATTTGTGGTCCGCAACTTACTTTCATTTACCAAGCGTCTAATGATCGTTAATATTGTTCTCTCTCTTTCATTCTATGTCATTCTATTAACTAAACATTTTCAAAGTTTCAGTGAACTCAACATTTTAAGGCAACCAGGTTACTTTCAACAAAAAATTTTTTCACTGATATGTTAAATTGAGAAAAACCAATCATTTTTGTGCAGCATCTTCATAAAGTTATCATGTCATTTGAGAATCAACTGACAATCTATTGTTTCTTTGAAACTGAGATATTAACCTGAAAATGCACTGTTGTTTCATCATGTATTGCAATTGGAAATCAGACAAAGAAAGAAACAGAGAACAAACAAACATTGAAACACTGTATAATATAGTTCGGCCCGTTCCTATTCTCAGATGTGTGGATGCACATGTACATAATTATTTAATGGTTAATTTGTTTAAAAGGCTTTGTAATATGACTGTCAGCACAGACATTGTTAGATGTAATAAACTGTGATGCAGCAGTGACACACACACTTAGTCAGTGCTGTCTGGCACAGGACGCCACCCACACTAGAATGCCAAGTGCCCTTTAAATAACCTTTTTATGGGCTGCGATTCATGAAAACACACACACACACACACACTGCACTACAGGCCAACAGCCATGATGTCACCATCAAATCCACTATTTGTATGTATTTGAGACCCACTGACAAAATTAGTTTCATAATAAAGGAAATAAATATAAAACAGGAAATTCCAGTATAAAAGCCATATTTTAATACGCTAAAATAATCGTGATGTTTTAAAATATTACTCAGGACTTCTGGTTGAATAGTACTTTTTTCGCTGATAATCATTGACTGAAGTTTAACATTAAAGAAGGAGATGGTTCTATTTCCTGATTGGGCAAATGGTGATTACCATTTTTGACGCCTTGTGTCTCCAAAGTGTTCTTTAATATTGCTCAGTTTGCACGGCATGAGCCATCATGTCAGGGAATGGCCATCTGATAAAGTTATTTGACAAACAAATGTCACTGCTATAAATTATAATTACTTTTGTAGTAAAGGTGTTTTTAATTAAAGGCAATGTTTTCATATCTTTTCCATCAGGTTTTGTTGCTCGGGACGATGAGAGGTGCACGTTTGCTACACTTGACCCTTCTCGTCAGCATTGTAAGTGTGTGTGCGAGTAGGATTTTAACTTGGTGACCTTGTAGTCTCCTTACAATCTTTTATTCTGTCCATAAATGAGTAACTGTGCTGAAGTCCATTTTTCCCGTGCACACTCCATTAATCAAATACTTAACACACAGACATAATCTGGATTCATTCAGCAAGTGGAAAATGATTTGTTCTACATCAATAATAATCAACAAAAATGGGCAAATATTCAACGACCTTCACATCACAGATAAATTTAATGGACTATTTATTGCATAGGTTGCAGTAAGACAATATAGTAATTAAACAGCTTTATTCAGTTATTTATTAAGAAGTGTGGTTAGATAGGGTGTTTGCAAGGAAATCCAATGCTCAGAAACAATACTGGCCACTAATGTTGTTCATGACTGTCTAGATTGATAACTGATAACATATGGTGTGGTTGAGTATATTGGTGATTTTGCAAAAAGTCAAATAATTCTCACATAATTCTTCAGACCTTTTTTCCTCTCTCAGGCTCATGGGATAGGTCTGGAGGACAAAACGGGGCTATTAGATCATAAAGTTTTAGATGTGCCAGAGCGTACACCTGTGCCTTATCCCATTTACCAGGTACTGTTGGCTCAGTTCTTGTGTTTGAATGGTTAGTTGTCTCTACAAGACATTTTTATTAGAACCTGAATGGTTTCTATCGTCAGTAATATTTTTTGAATGTTTTCATTGAAAATATTCTAGAAATCTGTTCTTTGTTCAGTTTACATCTGCATCGGAAGGTGTCTCTTCATATCACGTAAGTGGAGAGACTGAAGGAAAGATCGGTATCTCTTCAGACGGCTGGCTATACCTGGAGCATCCTCTGGAATGGAGCCCTGAGAAAAACCACCATCTAGATGTAATATATTATTGTAGTGTGATGTACTACACATAACATTCAAGCACCTGGATCTGTAAAAAGACACAAAATGCCTACGTTGTTTGTTTCTAATATGCACATAACACATTGTTGACACATCCATGGATTATTTTTAGCAACAGGGTTTTGGGTTCAAATATATGTACAAGGAAATTCTATACTTTAGGTCCTTAAACTGGTCACCATTTATTTTTCACAACTTTTAATACATGCATTACCTTGAGAAGTTTATTTTAAATGGTTTTGTGAAGTGAACATTTATTTTTAAAAGTACAGTATATTCCTTTGTAGTCATTCAGTTAATATGGGGTCATAAAACCACATAATAATTATATTAAATTATTTTATCATATAAATAAATAAGTAATAATAATACAAAACAATATATATATAATGTACGTATATATAAATTTTTTTATATATATATATACAATTTTACAGGTTTTAAATTGTGTAGCACGTCACTAAATATGTGTGTTTCTCTTCAGATTGAAGCACGTTCAGCAGATGGCGAAACTGTTGATGGGCCTTACTCTGTTGTTTTGCAAGTTGTGGATGTCAACAACAATAACCCTGTCTTTAGTGAGAGTCAGTTCAGTGGCAGGGTTAGAGAGCATTCACCTGCAGGTGAGAAACATACATTATCATCAGATGCTGAAACTTGCTGATTCTCTAAACCGTTACAATTTAAACGCTTTCTATGAACCTACTTTTCATTGTACTTTTAATCTTGTGTGCGTGCAGGATTTGCGTTCATGCAGGTGTTTGCATCAGATGCAGATGATCCCAACACAGTAAACGCTCAACTGAAATTCAGCATTGTGAACCAAATCCCCAATCCCGAAAACATGTTTTACTTTGGCATAAACCCAGACAATGGAGAGATATTTATAACAGACCAAGGTACATCAACACATCTGGAACAAAAATGCATGAAAAACTCAAATGTCATGCCAAACTTATTTCGTTATATTGCTGTTGTATTGCAGGAGCAGCGTCTCTGAAGGCCAGGCCTGCCGTAACATACAGCCGCGGGGAGGTCCATGGCAGTCCTGATGTCCTGAGGAAGAAGTTTGAGGACTACTGTATTCCAAAGAACAACATACCACTAGAGAACAACCCCTTTTACACATGCGTCGAGCGTGTTGGTGAGAACACACAGAAACACACACGATGATCATGCTATTTGACAGATTTGGGCTCACAGCATTATTTGAAAAAGCAGTTGTGCATATAATCATGCCAGACTCAGAGTTACTAGCATTTGAATGAGACATAGCTTTCAGTAAGAAATGTATAAATGGACCAAATGAAACCAGTATTTGAGTCTCTTTCCTCTGTTTGGAGAGAACCCCTGATAGCACACGTACATCACGGAGACGTCTATTTGATGTCTGCATTTACATCTGCGAGATGTATTTACTCATCTGCAATACGTCTCTAATACGTTACCTATCAGATGTTAAATTCTTTCTGTTAATGTTTATTATTTAGAATGTATGTAAAACTGCTTTTTCTAAGATGCTTATCAGATGTTTGTACACAACAGATGTTTTCCAGATGAAGCGCTCTTTAGCAGACATCTTAGAGTCGTACCTACTATCTGGGACACGTCATTCAGAATGAGGTTGAAATGAAAGGAGCTGATTATAGTGCTCTCACATACACACTCAGATTAAACTGGAGTGTTAATGTCAGTGGATGACCACTTCGCTCTGGTGTGTGGAACGTGCCACGTGCTGTAAAGAAGAGCGCAGTCATTAATTGAGCTCAAGCAGTGCAGTTCAGCAGTGCAGATTACATCAGTCTCAGAAATGAGGCAGGATTTGACCCAGATTACTTCACCATTCAAGATACACATTACTTACTCAAACCAATCAACATCATGCTACTAACATAACTTAAAGTCCTTTGTAGCTACTCTGGGAACGTTTATCTTTCTATATTATTTGATCATCCTCCATGGTGCGCTGACGCTCGCTCTAATGTTTACCTACAATATCATGCTGTTGCAAACTCTTGTGTCTCCAAGATAACATACATTCTAATCTTAATTTAGTCACACCACAGTGTAAAAAGAACGGCATTGTTTTTGCAAAATGGTTGAAAAGAGGCTTAAACAGTTGCTGCTGCACTAAATACCCCCCCCCCCCCCCCCTTTAGAATACCCCTCAGCCAATCAAATTCAGTGTAAGTTGAATAATCAATAATAGTTAATGAGTGTTTATTTTGTATGAGCAGAAAGAAGACAAGTGAATCTTCTGATGGATCCAGACTATGTACTGATTGTTCGTGCAGAAGATTTGGGGGATCCAAACGCTTTGAGCAGCACGACACGAGTCAACATAGCTATCATTCAAAACCTCTGGGTCAGCCCTGTACCAATTGCCATTAGAGAAAATTTAGACGGGGAATACCCTATGTATCTTACTACAGTAAGTCTGGATCTAAATAAAAACAATGTTATGTTATGGTAGCCAGTGCCTATACTTTACATTTTTATTAATATAATAAAAAAATAAATAATTTTATTCTATTAAAGTGAATACAAATCTTACATTGAAATGAGTAAGCATGTGTGTGTGTGTGTGTGTGTGTGTGTTTTATAGGTGCGCAGCAATGATCCCACTGCACTCTACAGGCTGGTACAGAAAGAAAGACTTCCCTTCCCATTCACCATCAATCAAGATGGAGAGATCTATGCTACAGGTCCTCTGGACAGAGAAGAGAAAAATATGGTAAATAGAAATGCAAGAGAAATTTTAACGATTTTTTAATAGGTCTACAACCTAGGTCACTCTGTTAATTATTGTATAAAACTGTGTGTTGCATTTGAAGCCTGACCTTTAATAACAATTATGTGTGTGTGTGTGTGTTTAGTACATATTGGTGGCCATGGCAGAAGATGAACATGGCGTTGAGCTGGAAAAGCCCTTGGAGATTGTTGTGCGGGTGGAGGATGTGAATGATAACCCTCCTGTGTGTGATGAAGGTGCAGTGTTTGAAGTGCAGGAGAATGAGCCCATAGGTAATAAAGTGAGAGTGTTTATACACACATTACAACACTTCAAACCAGGCGCATGTGACATCAGAAACTGACCAAATGCATTCAGAGGTGTCCAAAAGCCAAAAATGATCATTTATATAATCAAAATAAAACATTTTGGGGGAAAATTCTAAATTCTTAACTTAGTATTTGTTTTGTCCTCATTTTCAAAATTCAAATGTCTAGAAAGAGTACAGAATCTCAACCATTTATTCATTTTACATCATAATGTTTGTTTAAAATGTTTTAAAACTATTTACAGGTTTTAATTAGGTTTTGAATCCCAGATTTTCAATGTGGTCTCAGACTGGATGGTAATTCTTTAATGATTAACTTTGCCTTTTTTTTTTTCAATGACATTTTTAATGATATGCATGTCTTTAGGTAATACGATTGGTGTTCTGCCTGCTCATGATAGTGATGAAGAGAACACACTGAACTCATTACTAAACTACACACTCCTGAGCCAGACACCTACCTACCCATCTGACAAAATGTTCACCATCGACCAAGTAAATGGTGAAATCAAAGTAGCCAATCAAAACTTTCAAAGGAAAAAGGTGCCTCAGTATGAGCTCACCTTTAGAGTGGCTGATCAAGGTAAGTGCAAACTGAACTCAAATGAACTGAAAATGAACATTTATGAAGATGAATGTGCATCCTAACTTTTGCACTTATTTGTAGTTTACATTGCGGAATGTAAAGTGATCATCAAGGTCATCGACATCAATAATGAAATCCCTGTCTTCGAGAAAAAAGATGTATATATACATTTTGTTTCACTACTAAAATACTTCAATTATATTCTTTCTTTCTGTGGATTATTGAGTAATAAATCTCTGCTGTAATTTACTCTTCCCCTGTTGATTCGTTTCCCCTGTTGCAGTATGGGACCTACAGAGTTCCTGAACTGGCTGAAGTGGGCACCACTTTGCTCATTATCAAAGCCACAGATGCAGATGACCCAGGAACAGGAAGCTCTAGGGTGGAGTATCATATCTCCGCTGGAGACCCACATAACCTCTTAGCCATTGAGGTTGATGAAGCCACAGGAGCGGGCAGAGTCTACATCGCTCGGGTAACAAGATGACTCATATTGCAAAAACTTTGTACATTTCTGCTTTTTGTCCCCTCTATATTTCTTCGTTTTCATATTCTCGGTTTTCAGCCACTGGATTACGAGCTCCAGAGCGTCTACAACCTTCAGATTGATGCCCGTAATCCCGAGCCCCTGATCGAAGGATTGAAATATGATGAAAATGCCACAGCAGTTGTTGTCATTCAGCTAGTGGACGTGGACGAGCCTCCAGAATTTGAAGTGGACACTCTTGATGTCAATGTCCCAGAAAACATCACGATTGGAACCGTAATAATGAAAGCTGAAGCCAAGGATCCAGAGGGAAAGACTATCAAGTAATGCTTTGTATTGTGTCTGCTACGTAATCAGATCATATATAAGATGAGATTGTTTGTTCGCAGTGCTTCTCAACATTATCGAAGAGAGAGTTATGTTCCAGCAGTTATGTGTTATTTATAACTTATTATAAACTATTAAAATATTTACAAACTTATAAAAGCAAGAGATCTGAACAATTCCAAGCCTAGTGGTGGACCAATAATATCTGAAAAGAAAAAAAGATGATGAATTCTGTCTATGCAAACTTACCTTGGTTACTTAGAACTGGATATAAACATTACTTTTGAATTTAAAGGATTTTCCTTAAGGAATACGCTGGTCTTTTGCTCTAGATAAAAAAATCACATCAGCTGAACCAAAATTTAAAGCTAGATTTGTTTGTGCTTAAGAAGGGAATTTTATGATATATTGTCAGGTTTATTGGTAGTTTGACATACAATGGAGATACAAATGTCAGAGAGCACAAGTGAGAATTATATTTAGCATTTTTATCATTTCATAAAAAAAATTAATTCCAAATTATTAGCATGAATTGTACAAGTTTGTGTAGAACTTGGTGATCATGTTCTCCAGCATGATTTGAGATCATCCTAAAAAGCATCTTGTGCTTTAATGGAAGATCATCTGACATTTTGTTCACATGATCAATGTCACAACTTTGCATATTTAATTAGTGGCCTAGAAATAGTGCATAATCTTAAATGTTTCTTCTTCTTTTTGCATCGATATAAAAAAATAAAAAGTTTTAGTTTGTTTATTTAGTGGTCTGAGACTTTTCACCTCCACTCTATGTTATTTAAAATAGCTCTCTGGGAGCTGTAACACTTGTATGATTCCTCTTGTTAGTAATAACTAGCATTTTTTAAATGCTTTTATGTAATTCCTGCTTTTGAATGTTCTGTTTGTCAGGTTAAAGATGGAAGGAGATGAACATAATTGGTTTGAGCTGGACGCTGACTCCGGTGAACTGAAGACTAAAGCTGCTCTGGACAGAGAGACGGTGGAGCAGATCTCTCTCACAGTCATCGCTTATGAGACAGGTGAGAACACACCAGAGAGAGCACAGATGCATCATCTCTCTCCAGGCCAGTGACATTTGGTCAATATTACAATCTATTTCGGTTCCTTTCAGAGGGAGACAAGCAGGAGGGTGAGATGAAGGTGAATATTCATCTGCTGGATGTGAACGACAACTACCCCAAACTTCAGTGGAAACAGAACTTCATCTGCATGCAGGACATGACCCCCTTGACACTCACTGCTATAGATAAGGATAGCGACCCCTATGGAGAGCCGTTTACCTTCTCAATTAACCGCAAGTCACCAAACTTTGAGATCAAACCTGTGGATGGTGAGCAGACTTTTAGTTTAACCTTAACCCTAAAAACAACAGGCTAATGCACTTTTCACACTGTGGTTATCATCGTTCTAAACCCTGCTTTTAACACTGGGTTAAGGGACGTTTCACAATTTTAAATTAGAAGCAGGGTTAGCATCGCTTTTTACCCAGGGTTTTTACCTTATTTGAAACCCTGGTCCTGGTCCTTTTTGGCGTGCTGTCCGGGGGGAGGGAAATACGCATTCAACTTTACTCCCTCTAATAGTATGTAAGTGTGAACTCGTGAAATAATATGAGGATGCGCAATGCAAGAGCCTTTATGTAAACTGGTCGCGTACTGCGTTCATCCAATCAATAAAACTGACACTGCAAATATGTGAACGAGGATGTCAACCCAAGATTTAGGAATGTACAGTGTGAAACATTAGCTTATGAATTCCCAGGATTAATTGTTAACCCCCATTTCACGGGTTCACACTTACATACAATTAGAGGGGGTGAAGTTTAATGCGTATTTGGCGTGCTGTCCCGGGGGGAGGTCGGCCCGAACCCAGAGTACTCCCCCTCTGTAAGTAGTTAGGACTAGAAGTGTGGAGAAGGGGTGATGGAGGGGTACTGCTAAACTCAATGGATTGAGGTGAGACTGCTGAGTCTATATATACACACCTCTTATCATTGATTGTTGAGTGCGCTCCACCCGTGTTAATTATCTGAACGTGCTCCTTCCGAACTTTGTTAATAAAACATCATTAATTGTTAAATTAGTTGCAATGTGAAACGTGAAGCAAGATAACCCAGGATTCGGTTTACCCAGGGATTAGAATGACCCAGCGTTCACTATTTTAAGTGTGAAAAGCCCTTCTGTATGACTCCTGCATTTAATTTATTTACTGCTGTAACTGTGTAAACGTGTTCGGGTGCCTGCAGGAACCTCAGCGAAGCTGATTCTGAAGAAGAAGCCCTCAAGTGATCAGAACGTCAGTGTTCCCATCAACATCAAAGACAATGCTGGGATGGGTATCACTCAAAAGTTTGATGGTAAACTTATTTTTTCTCTCTGTATTTCATATATAACATTCAACTCACTCATAGGCTCGCACTTTAGCATGGTATGACATCTGAGCTGAGATTTCTTTCTCTTAGTGCGTATATGTAACTGCACTAAATTGGGCTACTGTTACATGGAGCCAGAAGCTCACAGCTGGAAGCTGAGCATGGGCAGCACCATCGGCATACTGGCAGGAATATTCGGCTTTATCAGTAAGACTGATATGTTGGAACTAATTTTGCTCTGTTAATATTTAAACATAAAAAGAAGCAAATTGAGTTTGATTTTCTTTTCCAGTTCTGTCCATGGTCATTGTTATGTACCGAATCAAGAAGAAGGATCAGACGAGAGCAGCAGATGGTGGAGAGACTAAAGCAATGCTCTAGAGTTGAGACGACATGCCAACTACAAACATCATTCAGTACAACCCAGGCAAACTGACATCCATGACCCTCAACACACACACACACCTTTATTTTGAATGATAAGTGGTTTATTATCATTAAATATGCATGTTTTTTTGATTTGCATCATCTGACAGTTTTAACAGTAACTTATTTGCCATGTGGCCTGGCAGTTGTATTAATTATTTTATATTTAAAAGCTATAAATATTTGACCTAAATTTAGATATTTTATTTTTCCCCGTTTATATAGTAGATATATATTTTCACCTAGTGTTTAAAGGGAACACAAAACCAGGTGTATTCTGGGAATTTGTGGTATATTTTTTGGTACTGTAGAGTACTTTGAGACACGAGTATATGTTGTCATATTTCATATGGATTAAACCTATAAAAACCTAATTCTTATATTTATTCCCCGTTATCCAAGAATCAGCTAAAATATGTTAAAATCTTTCCATGTCATAGATATTTTTGTTTTTGACTTTTCTTCTAAAGCATGTTTTTGTGCAGGTCAAAGGTCAGGTTCTGCAGTGTAATTCCATTATTGAAGAAGGTATAGAAATCACAGAATGGCAACATTTTTGCTTGTTTGCATATTTGACTGAAAAAACGATATTGTTCATTCTGTAAATAAAGTAATACTTTGATCTTATAGAAAAATGTTTTTTTTATTATAAATCCACAATTGTCCCACATTTAAACGTTAATATGTACTGTAGATTATATTAAAGCAATAGTAATATAAAACCAAAAATTGACAAGATAATGCAAGATATAGCTTTTAAGCATAAAGGATATTTTTATTCTTCAAGAGTAAATAATTGTAATGAGTAAAGTCTTAGCGTCTAAGATAAAAATCTTATGTAGTTGTATGTCCTGTGTTTCTATAAGGTTTTATCATACATCGCAGGTCTTGAAAGAGACAGATGTTACTGTCAAAAAGATATTGTAACATATCAGAGACAAATCAAACAAACCAGAGATGCCTAAAACTCACTCTCGTAAATTCTCGGTCTGTATTACTAGTCTGTATCTCTTCATGCTGATCTATAACTTTCATATGTGTCCATCTCTTAGCAATTTTCCATAACAAACACAAAAACAAAAGAAAATGAACTCACTGAGATAGTTAGAGTGAGGGGTCGGACTCGGAGGAGTGTGTCACGCAGTAGCCTAATAGTAAAAAACATGGTTATACCTTATGTTTGATATTAGCCAGAGCTCATCCGGTGGGGGTTCTGTGTCCATTTTTGGACTCAGACACACGCAGAGCTACTTGTCTTCCTGCACTCGGGTGACAACTAGTGAAGAGAGGGGAGAGTTGTGTTTACATTATCAACTTGGGGAATTGGGAAAACACAGTATGATTAAAATATAATTTAAACTATTTTTACCCTGTACTTCAATCACCAACAATCTGAAGTAAAAAAACTGTATTTTTAATCCTCAGCAAGCCAAAATAAGTTTTAATTTTAGAGCTTTATTTATACGTGTCCAGATATATGAAAAACAGACGTTTATGGATTTTGTTGCCTGAATGGACATTTTAAACAGGCTCAGTTTTAAGGGCCTTATGGCTCTTTGCAATACTTGATTTTGATTGGTCACTCGCTGCATTATTCAGCAGTATTCGCCGTCGACCGTGGCGTCCGATCAGGGCAAGGGTCCCATCTCTAAGTGCCTGGCCGAAGGTGGAGTTAGCCAGCACACCGCCATCACTTGTCCTCCCGTAGCTGCCGACATCCACTACTCGGAAGCAGTACTGTGCATCCACCACTGCCAGGAGAACAACCGAGTAAGTCCCATTGTAGTTGAAGTAAAGGGACCCTGAGTTGTCAGGGGCCCTGACAACAACATGTTTTCCATCGATGGAACCTAGGCAGTAAGGAAAGTTCCACCGATGGAAGAAGTCAGTGGCGATGCTTTGCCAGTCCTCAGTGGTGGGGACTGGCATGACCTCCTGTACCAAGGCGTCCCATATTGCCCTGGCGACGTCTCCAACAATTCCTGCCACGGTGCTCACTCCCACACGATAGCTGAAAGCTATGGTGCGGTAGGAGTCTCCAGTGGCCAGGAATCTGCAAAAAAACAAAAACTATAATTACTTAAAAATAATAGCTTGGTTTGAACAAACAACATTTTTTTTTTTTTTTTTTTTTTACCTCAACAAACTTCCTCTAAGGAACTCCAAATTCTGCGTTTACATTAATGCATTAGTAATAATAATCTAATGGTATAATTAGAAGTCACAGTTCACTTTTACTCCTTTAAGTCAATTTTCCCGATTTTACTTAAGTATAATCAGGTATAAACATTACTTAATTTAAGGAACGCAGGGCTTATACTTCACTGTAAACCCTAATGCTCAAAATAATTAATTGGTTTGAGTAGGACAAACTTAAATTAAACAAATTAGTTCAGTCAAATTAACTTTTATGAGTATTTAGCACTTTCTTTTTCTTTCAAGTTCACAGAACTGATATATTTTAAGTAAACTGAAGTGTTTCATTGTTTTGAGTTTTATGAAATTATTTATTTTAATTTAGACGAACTTAAGTTTAACTGAAACAGCTGGGATGTCTATTTCCCAGCATGCTTTGCCGATGGCACTCGAAAGGGAGAGTAAATGCTAAAATTAAGTGTAATATAATGGGTTTTTTTGTGTAAGATTAATGTTATGTGTGAGATTTAGTAGTGATTCATGTTTTGTTATGCTAATTTAGAAGAATTTCTGTTAATGTTGGCTTTAGGATAGTTACCATCATGGTGACAAGTGGTGCATGCAGCTTGATTTGAGACCAAATAATACATTTATATTGCTGTGCTCAAACAGCAAGTGTTTCTGTATAACATACTATTGCTAATATATTAGCATTTACTATGTTAGCATATTAACTTTTTAAAGCTAACTAAGTTTATACTAATAAAAGTATTTTGAGTTCTGCCAACTTATTTGGGTTTACAGTGTACTTCATAGATTTAAGTTATTTTAACTGAATGGAATTAGTACTATTAACTTTATTTGCCCAAGTTATCTTAAAGGAGTCATAATGTAGTATTAACTTTGATACCCACGCTCTATTATAGTCATTTCATGCCCTTCTAAAAAAGAAAAATTGGAAAAAAATAAACACAGAGCTCGTTTGACCCTTATTTCTGAATGCATTATTGTCTTGCGAGATCTGATGCGAGGTTTTGGCTGTCGTGGACGGTCATTTTAATAATGCAAATGAGGGGCGCGTTGATTGGTGGCAGGAAGGAGGGGGCTTGACACCGCAGGTAACTTCAGCATATCATTCCAAAATGACATCATAGCGCAAGTTGTTAATGAACCCGACCTGGCCGCGACCTACGGGATTCAACCGTATATGTTTGAGCCAGACTCTGAACCAGAGCTGGAAACGGAAGAGGAACAACAGTCAATTGAAGGACGTCTACATCAAATTGTCTCTGAATGGTAAAGACAATTTTTTTGACTGAGACATACATTAACATCAGTAACGAGCTAAAACGTTTTATTTTTGCTATTTTCTCCCACATAAGTTTAGCTTTAATTTAATGTAGATTACATTAACGGAGATGTAGTCTACTTTATTTTCAGTTTACAGTGGTTATAGAGATTAACGTTTGCTATAATGTGTTGTTTTTGCCTTTTTTGACGTGGTTTTTTAGATATTTAATAATTTTCATCTGCAGACATGTAACGTTATGTTTTTCTTTATGTTTATTAATTCTTGACTGTTTTTTAAATTTATCTATCCTTATCACATACATTAACCGCATTAGTAGTTAGCTGCTGTTTGTTACACAAAATATAGTAATAAAAACACAGTCTTACCGTTTCAAATTCAGGCAAGTCCCTGATTGTTGGAATGGCACCTTTTTCCAAACGTAGCTTCGATGCCAACTTCGCCTGATATTGCCCCAAATTTGTAAAAGATTCTTTTGTGAAATGTTTAGCGCAGACACCTAACGTTGAGCAAGTTGAGATGGTTGTCAAACACGATGAGATGGTTGAGATGGTTGATGAACAGCGTCATTAAAAATAAATTTCATCCACTTGTCCCTTGTAGTTTGGTCAGTTTTGGGTAAAGAAAAAACATTAGAATGTGGATTATGACAGTCGACCACAGAGCAACTCACGTGTGCACTACGTTTCTGCATCTTTCTTGTCTGAATATGAGGGGGAGAGGGGCAGGGCGGGCCTCATCTGCGGGGTCCATATATGGTATATCCGGCCCCGTCTTGACGTCAAGTCGGGGGAGAAATTGAAATCTCGTATTTGAGTGCGCGTGCACGTTGGCTAGTTTAAGAACCCTGGGGTAAACAAACGCTTCACTTTTGAATATCGGCATCCCGGCCAATGTATAATCGTTAGTCAATCATAACATACATTGATTCTCATGGAAAAGTGAAAATTGCACATTATGACTCCTTTAACAATAAGTTATTGAGTTACTTGAACACAAATCAAATATTTTTTTAAGCTTAAATTGTTTGAGTTAATAAACTTAAATGATTTAAGGCAATCGGTTTCCTCAAACGGTTTGAGTTGAACTAACTCATCAGGTTTTACAGTGTACTTGTATCAGAGTATTTTTACAGTGTGGTATAACTTAACTTTTTACTTTATTAAATAAAGCTTAATACTTTGTCCAAAACTGGTAAATAGCATTTAACAACCAATAAGTATCCAATATCCAACCCATTGAAAATACAAAACGAAATACTTAATACTTTAAAAATTAAAACATAAAGAACAAAAATTACGAACTTACCGGAGACAAATAGCGAGGCGCTCAGCCGCATTAATAGCGCGCCTATAGTTGGTGTCCTGCCTCGCAATTCGTGGCCCTACTTTTGACAGGTTGTCGAACTGGTCCCTGTCCAGCCTGAAGTATCGCTGGAACCTGCTGTCATCCAGCCGCAGCTCCTGCACCAGCCGGTGATATTCTCCAAGCTGCTGACGGGCTTGTAGAATATCATGCACGCACTCACACCGATCTCCGACCTCTTCTCCGCAGGTAGAGCAATGCCACACCAAACGCAACAACTTGCTCATCCATAGTGTTGTCAGTTTGATAAGAAAAAGCCGCGCAACACTATAGGCAACATTTTTGCAACATTTTCGCGCTAGAACACTGGTTTTTCAGCGGGAATGCAATTCATTTGCTTAACACCGATTTGACGAATTGCATTAAGGCTACAACCAGGGTAGTTATTTTAATGTAGACTGCACACAAATCAATGTTAACGTTAATTAAAGACCAAGTCTAGTAAACGTCCTATAAACTGCATGTTGAAATTAGACTCGCAGTTGACAATGAACACAAAAGTCACACCACACAAATGAAATTAGTTTATTTCGTTAGCAAAGTAACTATAATTGTTAAGTTCTTTCCATCAGTCATTTTCTTACTTTCACATTTAAAAGATTTAATTAGGTTAACTTAATACCCTACGTGCTTTTGCGGCCCCTTTAAATAAAGTAAAAAAAAAAAAAAAAACATTCGATCTACGTCAGAGCGTCCACGATTTTTTCCACGGCGTCGTTGGCAGGGCGGCGAGAGCGAATTTTGCCGCTCTCGCCGGCGGCGGTGTGAACGCACAGTAAACCCGTTACTTTCCTCGTGTCTCTCATATCACA